GTCAGCCCTCCTGCTCCTCTGATGCTGCTTGGCCTGCTGTGTTCATCCAGCTCTATACCTTGTTATCTTGGATTCTCCAGCATCTGCAGTTCCTACCATCTCCAAAATAATAAGTTATTTCTTTTTCATTTTAAGCCAGTTAGAGGCACTTTGTAACAGCAGCTTCTCGCCAACTAATAAAATTACAGATTTCCTGTCAGTTCATTGTACCATATTTTTCACACTCAACTTCTCTAAGCTCTGTGTCCAGAATGAAGCCACTCCCTACTCTCTGTGCTCTATTTAAACTTGCTGCTTCTGCTTTCTGCATTGTGTTCCAGGTCCAGAATGAATCTACATATATCCAGGATTAAAAATTCAACATTAATCTATTACCACAATACAACAGAAGAAAGTGGAGCTGAGAAAACATCAGTGAATGATCAAATGGGCTCCATCACATTCACTTTGCGACTCAGTTTGGCCATATTCAAATTTGCTAACCCAGAAACTTACATTTCTTTACTTCTACTAAAATAAGAATTGATCTAATTCTTTTTTGAATGGTTTAAGTGAGTAAATCATTAGTCAAAATGGTAATCAGCAGATCAAAGATTCCATGCATGAAGACAACTGAAATTGCACCTTGGTATACTAATATACACACTTAATGGGTATTAATGGGTATTACTGAAATATTAGCCTTTTAAATGGAAATATTAACTAATTTTAGACAAACACATTCATTTTTTTACTCTAGAATCTCAAGGTATCATTTCAGACCTGTTATTCCTTCATGAAGTTAAGGTCCTGCCCTATGAAAATTATAATCATGCAATTATAAGCATGCATCTTTTGTCATAGTTAAGCAGAAAATAACCTTTCACTTGCCTGGCTGAACCAGCAAAACTCAGAAAAGCTAGTGTGCAGTATTAAAAACGCTGATGCAGCCCATTAAAGTTAGCAACTCAAAAAATATCTCTCAGTGAAGGTCTGTAAACCATGAGCCTTGCCTCAGGTTGGCTGAATTATTTAAGTTTCTTTTATTACATTGGATTTCAGGATTTGTTTTCGTATTTTGCAATCACGTTCTGTAATTCAGTTTATTATTTGTTTTGTGAAATCTGAAATTAAATGGCTGTTGGCAGGCTTAAGGGTGAAAAACATTTCTTGATTATGAATTAAAAATACATGCGCTGAATCTTACCAGAAAACAGCTAAGTGTAATTTTTGGCAATTTTCCATGGAAAGGTTTCTTTTCTCAGGGTGTTAAGAATTTTCTTGCACTTTTGTCCCAAATTTGCAGCATTAACCATGCACCATGCCTCTGTAGCATCCATTCATCCTGTTCTCTCAATCGCTGTAGGTGAACATTTTTGTCATTGTTGGGATATTCTGGGCTCCTTGGCACTCGGCTGTACACTCGGTTCAAGCATTGGCAGTCCAGAGTTGTCTTTCACCATGCACAGAGAGGGACATTAACATAAGCTGACACTTCTCAGGGCACAAAGGTGGCACACCACCATTCCATTGCACATACAACTGCACTTTCCTACACTACCACTCAGCCATGCAGATTACTGGCCACACCCCATCTTAAAACCCTGTCTTAGTCAGTTCTACTCTTTTCCATTGCCCCCAGCATCTTATCATTGTTCATTCTGAAGAAGGGTCTAGGCCCGAAATGTCAGCCTTCCTGTTCCTATGATGCTGCTTGGCCTGCTGTGTTCATCCAGCTCTACACCTTGTTATCTCTAACTATGACAGGCTGCCTGGTTTTGAGTTTGCACTGAGCAGTACAGCAAGACAGAAGTACTGTGAGGCTGTAAAGTGAGGCTGAGGTGGTAAAGTGTCAAAAGGAAGGACAAGGCAAGGCATGGAGCTGTGAGCATCAAAGTAAGCACAAAGTGAGCAAATGGTAACAGAGCGCACGAGCAGCCCTGAAATACAGCCAATCCAGGACATGCACACCTATCCCTACACATAACATGTCTCTGCAGCAACATTGCAATGAAAGGTGCTGGTGCACTCCAAAGTGCAGCATTGCAGAACAATACTGTATGTGGATCAGAGATATGTCATGATAATGCCTTGAAGCTGGTACCTGTTGGATGGTGATGTCTGTGAATGGGGGTGTGGGGTGTGAGTATCCAACTGCTGTCCATGGATTGTAGCCTGAGATGTTGGTTTCCAAGATGGAAGTCCGGAAGAGCAAGCAGGAAGCTGGAGTCACCAGGTAACCATGGTTTTACCTGTTTGCATAACTGTCAAAGTAACAATGTGTGCTGTATACAAACATGTATATTTGCTTGGGTTTTTTTTTCATTTTTAGCAAAAAGGGGCATGTTGTGTTACATCTTGTGGCTTGTGTACCTTTAAGACACATGC